GTTTTATTTCATAACATTTAACTCTGTATCCTTAAAAAATTTTTCTAAGTGTGTCATGATATTTTCATTTGCTCCTAAGTATGCTGTTGCTTAAAAAGGTCGAGAAACACTGTGCTGGGGGGTGACTAGCTAATCCCTGTTGCAGACGCATGCTCAGGCACATTTGTGCTTCTTCAGCACCTACAGTGCCACCTTGTGACTAAAACTTCAACTTTACTTAGACTTTTTCTTACAGTTTCTGGGAGAGAGCAGATAATCTTACATGACCAGTATGGCTACACATGGAGTTGGCCATATAGTTTCGTTCCACAGGTGATGAACTAAGGGATTTTGTTTGGTTGCTAGGCATCTGAGTAAACAGATCATTGTCAAATATGATTTCCCGTTATTTGATTAGTTAGTAAGAGTGATTACTGAAACAGTTTATTGTTAATCATATAGAACTCTCTCATCATTTTGGGTGTTCCCCTCAGGTGGGACATTAATAATTTGCATATGTCATTTTCTTCACATGTTTTAAAACGTTTTTAATTTTATATGCAAATTACTAGCATTTCACACCAGGAAAATGACCAAAATGACGAGGGAGTTCCATATAATAATTAAACGGTTTAATTTTCTTCATGTTTTAAAAACGTTTTTATTACTGTGTTTGTGTTAATGGAAATTCTGTTCTAAAAGGATGGTTTCAAAATTCTTCACAACTGAAAATGACCAAAAAAATGACGAGGAGTTCCAATTTTTTAGGTGATGTTCCAATAAACAATTTAAGTCATGTTCCACCTTTCAACCCCTTATTTTTCTGTCTTTTTCAAACATGTCATATGGAACAGAAAATCGATAACTTGACATTGCTATTTTCAAAACAATTAAGTCAGGATTTCAGGCTAATGTGTTTGTGTTAATGGCCGTCAAATTCTGTTCTGTTCATAAAAGGAAGGTTTGACATAATTCCCAAATGGGACCTCTTAAATCCATATTCACTTGTAACCCAATCTTCCTAACTGGGACACTATTCTATTACTATCTTCAAATATATTCCCAAGTCTGTCTAATAAGAGGGATTTGATCCTATTTGATTATGAATAAATCCAGCTATTCCCCAGGTTGTAAAGTTCTGTTCATTTATCTATCTATCTAAATATATTCCCCATTCATCTATCTAAATACTGTCTATCTATCTAATAAAATAAATATTCCCCAAGTCTGTCTATCTATCTATCTAAATATATTCCCCAAGTCTGTCTATCTATCTATCTAAATATATTCCCCAAGTCTGTCTATTTATCTATCTAAATATATTCCCAAGTCTTTTTCATCTAAATCCCAAGTGTCTAATTTATCTATCTAAATATGTTCCTAAGTCTTTCTATCTATCTGTCTAATATTTCCCCAACTTTATCTATAGTGTGAAACTTGTGCCTGGTGTTTTATCTTCAATGTTTGGTCAAATGTGCGATAAGTAGACTCTCATATTACATGAAGAAAATTATGTATGCAAATTATTATTATTATTATTTCCTTTGGTTTCTGGTATATACTCATTTCTTTCTGGTCCCAACCAGAGACCTAAGATCATAATGGTTTGCTGATATTTCTTCTGTACTGAACATTTTTTTGAAAAAGCAAAAACAAAAAACTAAGAGCTCACACATTTTACATAAAGACCTTTATAAAGTGTGAGTTATATTTGTGGGTACAATTTTATCAGGAATGTCTTCTATGATTTTATCAGAACCTTTTCCAATTAAACCCGAGGACTCCAACTACAACTGAATTGCTGATGTTCTCATAATGTTCTCCTTGATTTCAATTTGAATTTGATTTTTTTTTTTTGAAGATCTTCAAAGATATATTACAGTCTGCAGGGACAGCCATGTCAATAAGAAAGCACATTCTGTTTTTGTGGTCTTTCATTACGATGTCTGGGTGATCAGCTTTGATTGTTCTATCTCTGTGTATTGTAAAGTCCCATAAAATTGTTTCAAATCCTATCTTTGTAGCCAAGTCTAAGTAGTCTTCATACCAATTTCTTGGGCAGTTATCTTCCCATAAAAGTTGTAGATTTTCCAATGCAGGTATCAACCCAACCCGAGTTTCATATTTGTTGGATCCTCTATCATGCAACCTGATACAAAACGGTTAATTGTTTCTGGATATTCCTTGCAGAATCTGCATTTCAAGTTAACACAATTTTTCAGTATATTTGCTTGACAATTTATAGTTGGCGAGTATTGGTCTTGTGCAGCAAGAATAAAACCTTTGGTTTCAGCTTTTAATTGGTCTTATTATGCAAGAATAAAACCTTTGGTTTCAGCTTTTAATTATTATTATTATTATTGTTATTATTGTTATTACAGTTAAGACAAGAGTGTAATTTAAGAAAATGAAAAAAGAAAAAGGAAAAAAAATGTTTTTTTTTCTTTTTTTAAACTCAACGTCCAGACAAGAGATGAAAAATAAATGATTTAACAATTGTTTTATTAATACTAATTGATTTATAACAACTCATGTTTATTTTGTTTTCTAAATCATCTTCTCCACTGTTGAAAATATTAGATGAGATATGACAATCCCTATTATATTAGGTTTTTTTATTATTATTATTTCCTTTGATTTCTGGTGTGAACTCATTTCTTTCCATGTCCAGACAAGAGACTTAAGTTTATAAATGGTGTCATGACATTTTCCACTAAAATTTAAAAAAAAAAATTAGATTTTTTTATTATTAGTTTATTATTATTACAACTGTTTAAATGATAAATAAAAATGAATAATATCTAATAAATAATAGAAAACAATTTATAAGAACAATGATGTTGATGATTTTTGTTGTTGTAAAGCAATTGTTTAAATGTTAAATAAAAAAAAAAAAATAATCAACCATGAATTGTAAAAATAAGTATTAGAAAATAAACGATCATTCTAAAATAAAATTTAAGGGACATATTTTTTAATTTGTTGCAGATATGTCGCAAATCTTTACAAGTACTTTGTATATTATATAGTATAATATATATATTATATGATATTATAGTATATGATATATTAATATAATAGAATGAATAGAATGTGCATTGTTTTGGGGTTTCTTTTTGAAAGGATGGCCTAAAACGGTGCACATTCTCTCCTGATAACCCGAAATTTAAATGTAAATTCAATCAAATCATATGTTGTATAAGTTGGAATATATATAAGTAGTTGATATATATGGCATTCACGTAATTGAGTATAATCAGCTCACTTTCAGGTGAGTTTCAATTACTTTACAAGTAATTTCCTTCTTTTATTATATATAATATATATATATATATATATTATAGTATATGATATATATATATATATATATATTATAGTATATATATATATATATATATAATATAATATATATATATATATATATAGTATATATATATATATATATATATAGTATATATATATATATATATTATAGTATATGATATATATATATATATATATATATATATATATATATTGAGAAGATATGATATATATATATATATTATAGTATATGATATATATATATATATATATATATATGATATATATATATATATATATATATATATATATATATATATATATATATATATATATATATCTATATATATATATATATATATATATATATATATATATATTATATTATATATATATATATATATATATTAATATATTATCTGTAAGAAATATATTTGAAGATTTTTATATGTGAAAAGATATTCTAATAAAAATAAGAACTTCAAATGTCATCATGGACAAACTACTATTAATATAAGATTCTACTGGACATAAAGTGGAGGGTCGGTTTTATATTGTTATTACATAATAAACTCTCTATTTTTTTTAACCAATTCACCCCAAGTAAGGTGACAATGCCACCAAGATGTAAGGGGCTACTGGGAGTGAAAGAGAAGAACAAGACTTTAGAAGGAACTGGACACCCAATCCTAAACAGGAAACAAGGGATAAACCTCTACACCTGTTCAAAAGATGGAGTGTAAATTGGATGATAGGCAAACCTATCTACTGTTATTGAGGAAAAATAAATAGTAAATAAAATTTCAGAGATTAGGTGCAGACATTAGACATCAAGAGTTGAAATAGACTTTAGAAGGAACAGGAAATAAGGAGTTAACCTATACTGCTGTTCAAAAGACAGGTCGGCTGCGTGAACAAGAAGATAGGTGAACCTATCCTTTCCAATTAAAGAAAAATGAATAAATAGTAAATAGAATTTCAGGGTTTAGGTGGAGATGTATAGATCTGAAGTAGATTTCAAAAGGGACAGGAAAGCCAATCATAAACAGGAACTAAGAGATAAAACCTCTAGCTCTTATTCAAAATTAGGAGTACGAACTAAAAGATAAGCAAACCTATCTACTCATATGGCGAAAAAGAAATTGAAAATTAACTGATCCACGAATAGAATTGCTACAATAATGGTAAAACATAATTAAAAACTCACATGTAAAACCCTATTAAGAGAAAATATGTTTTTATCTCTGGCAAAATGAAGAGAATTTTGATAAATCACTACTCTCAGAAGATAAACTAAAGTCAGCAACGAAAACCAGCATTTGAAAAAAAAAAAAAATGACTAGTGCAAGAAATTCAAATTGTTTTTTTTTTTGTTGTTGATGAATATATTTGTTGTAAAACTAATAAATCCATTTTTATTTGCCATTACTGTAATTGCCAAAAAAGTAGTATTTGAATTATGCGTTCAATTATGGTATTATGGATAGGAGGGAAATCAACAGAGACTGGGGTCACAGGGCAAAAAGAGTTACAATGAATTGCCATAAACAGTAATAAGAACTCATAAAAATGGTCTTTTATGGCAGCAAATATAATCTGATGACTGAACCCTGACAAAACTGATATATCTATATTTATCTATCTACAAAACAGTGCTGAAAAGTTCTAGGGTTGATGTTTGTTTCTTTTTTCTCTATTTATCATCTATCCATCTAAATATGTTCCTAAGTCTTTCTATCTATCTAATATGTCCCCAAGGTTATCTTTATAAATATATTCCTAACTTTTTCTATCTATTTATCTATCTATCCAAATATTTTCTTAAGTATTTCTATCTAAATATACTCCTTAGGAATATATTTAGTTAGGAAGACTAAGTTTTTCTTTCTATCTATCTAAATATATTCCTGTCTGTCTGTCTGTCTAAATATATTCCTAAGTCTATCTATTTTAGGAATGGATTTTTCATTTATTAATCTCACATATTTTATTACTTAAACATTATTTTTGTGGAATATGCATATTTAAGTAGACGCTCTGTTTATTTATTAAACAGTATATTTATTTATTTTCATCTACTGGCCTGAATATTTGAAGGTTCTTATTAGAAAAATATGTGATCATCTATCTATATCTGTTCCTAAGTCTATCTATCTATATCTGTTCCTAAGTCTATCTATCTATCTATCTATCTATATCTGTTCCTAAGTCTATCTATCAATCTATATCTGTTCCTAAGTCTATCTATCTATCAATCTATATCTGTTCCTAAGTCTATCTATCTATCTATCTATATCTGTTCCTAAGTCTATCTATCAATCTATATCTGTTCCTAAGTCTATCTATCTATCAATCTATATCTGTTCCTAAGTCTATCTATCTATCAATCTATATCTGTTCCTAAGTCTATCTATCTATCTATCTATCTATCTAAAAATGCTCCACTTTTTTCCATAAAGTATCTGGGTCAATGCAATCACCTACATCCGGATGCTGGGTACAGCAATCAAAACCTGGATTGAAAAGTTGACTGTAAATTATTTTCTCTTTTACTTAGACAAAAAGGTTTTGAAAATGCAATCACTAATAGCATCTTCCACATGTACAAAAAGGCAAAAAATAATGGAGGCATTATTAATAAAAAAGAAAAAGTCAACACTCAATGATATCAACTATGATCATGGTCATAATGCACTGACTGTGTTTGGAAAATAAAACATTCCTATAACTCTAGATACATATATAAAACAATACATATATTCAGTTAAAAGTAAAATATATTCATTCTTGATAATGGGTAAAAGTGTAGCCAAAAGCACTTGGAAAACATTGACAATTTTTGTATAATTTATGTCCTAAAAAGGAAAAAACATTATACAAACACATGAGAAATTATACAAAAAAACTTAACCATCATGTCGAACAATCACGTGGTCAAGATAAACACTCAGTTGTGGAGCAAGCGGAGTGAATACTAATTCAACATTGAGAAAGAGCTATTTATGGTGCAATGGAGCATCTCATTATGCTAAAGTGGGATAGTCCATTGCTTGGGCTGTGATTGGCTGCTGGTATCTGAGTGGAAGTATTTCTATATAAATACTAGCATGATTTCTCAGTTAGTTTGAAGGGTTTGTATTAAGTTACAACCTGCTTTATTTTTGTCTGCCAGCTGGACGCTAGCTGGGACTCTTATGCCGGTAAGTGTTGTTTATTGTATTGTTATTCTACACATCACACCTTGTCAGTCATTTTCAATGAAACTTGCATAAAAGAGGTATTGCTGCCCAAATACTACGTGTGCGTATATATGTATCTGTGTGTAATGGCTGACCTCTTGTAACCCAGTATGCCTGTCTACTAGAGCAGCTAGCCAATCCCTATTGCAGAGGCTTGTTCAGACACATTTTGCATTTGTTCAACACCCACAGAACCCACCTGTGTTTTATATTGAAACTATGCTGAGCAGACCTTATTTACAGTTTCTGGCAGAGAGAACATTATCTGGTGTAAGCAACAATCTGAACAAGGCCAGTACACTCACACCCTCGGTCACTGTGACTTGTGCCTTTGTGCTAGCATAACTATCAATGACTCCCAAATAGTTTTTTTTTACCCAACTTCACTCACAAGGCTTGGATCAACCCATGGTATGGTTCTTAAACACTTTCTAAATGTGCCACATGATTGGATCGCTTCTCCAGACTGAAAACATCAAGAAGTCACCTTCCTGATAAATCAGTTAATGTGAGATATGAACATGGGGGTCTCATAGTCAGAATGCAAATGTTCTAACCACTTGGCCATGTTCCTGTGGAGTAATGAGTTGCAGCTTGGATTAATGAATCAGCCAAGTTCAAATTCCATTTGAGTTCGTTACCTTCACTTACATGCTTGGGAAAGGTATGAATCCTCCTCTTCTCCCCACCCAGCTATGGATAAATAGCAGAACAGAATGGGTTCTATAGCCTTGGATGGTGAACAGTATAGGAGGACAATTCTGAATTCATAAGCTGTGGAGAGGCATTTGGGGACATTGTGCCATACTAAGCACTAGTTCCCTGTATTTGGCTCTTCCAAAAAGTGTGCTTGGTTCTGCACAAGCCTTCACTACTTTAATCAAACCATATGTGTGGGTCGTCTGGCTTTTGGTACTAAGAATTAAGATGCTTGTTGCTTGTATGCCAAAAATGACAGGAGAGTTCAGTTATATATATATATATATATATATATATATATAAAGTTTCTTCTCAGATCAAAAATGCTTTTAACTATTTATATTTATTTCAGAAGATGCAATAAAATTTATCTGAGAAAAATAATTTTCAAATTTGTGCTTTAATTCAAAAGGATACATTGGAAAAAAGAATCTAAAATAAAAAAATTGCTTTGATGTGTATGGAAATAAAATCTCTTTGCCATATAAATGCCGTAAAAATATCTTTGCCATATAAATGCTGTATAAATAAAATATTTTCGCCAAATAAATGAATGACATATAAATGTCATATAAATAAAATATCTTTGCCATATAAATGAATGCCATATAAATAAAATATCTTTGCCATATAGATGAATGCCATATAAATAAATTATCTTTGCCATATAAATAAATTATCTTATCTTTGCCATATAGATGAATGCCATATAAATAATCTTTGCCATATAGATGAATGCCATATAAATAAATTATCTTTGCCATATAGATGAATGCCATATAAATAAATTATCTTTGCCATATAAAAAAAATGCCATATAAATAAAATATCTTTACCATATAAATAAATCATCGTTGACATATAAATGAATTTTGTTGATGTTCAGTTGATGCTTTGTACTTGTTTGTTCGATAAGCCTTTTCCAGTCCCAAGCAGCTGTGTCTGCTTATTCATCATTTTTACTCAAATATGTGGATGTGAACGAGCTTGTGGGTTTTGAGTGTATTTTTTAGTTGAACGTGCATGTTCAATATATAAACAAAGAAGATAGAAGAAGCATACAAAAACTTGAGATTCTGCTATGGACATTTCTTTCTTTTATGTTGACTATATTGAAACAAAGTTAAATGTCTCATGAGTATGTCCATTTTGGTTCAGAAATTATTTCTATTCTTTAAGGTCTGCTTAATATAGATGTAGTATAAACCACAGGTGGGGGCTCTGTGCATGTTGAACAAACACAAACGTGCCTCAGTGTCTGCAATAGAGATTGGCTAGCTGCCCAAGCAGAGAGGCATACTGGGATATGAGTGGACAGCCTATATATATTATATTTTTATTATAAGAGATTATAATAACATTTTGAAATCATTACACAAAGGTTTCATGTTAAAAAAATGCATGATGTTGGGTGTAATAGAAAGGGAGGAAATGGATGTAAAGAAAGAAGAAGAAGAAGGGGGAAGAGAAGAAAAGCAAGGATATTATAAAAATATTGGTGGGGGGTAATTGAAATGGACATTTTTTCTTTATCCAGCCTTATATGTGCTAAAGAGGAATTTTTTAATATGTATACAAGGGCTCAAGACCTTGACTTTGTGATTCCAAAGGTTTTTGGGATCTGGAAATGCCATTATTGCTTGGTCCTGGTCTGGTTCAACACTGACCATTAACCTCTTATTATATTTATATATATATATATATATATATATATATATATATATATATATATATCTGTAAAGAAAAAATAAAAGGAAAACTTTTCTATGCCAACATGTTTTGTTCCTTATATGGCATTCATTTATATGGCAAAGATAATTTATTTATATGGCATTCATTTATGTATCTATGTAAATCTGTAGATTTTATTTTTCATAACTTGTATTTATACACAGAAGAATGAGTTAAAGATGGTCAAGCTCAGGTCAGCCTTGTGATGAGTTGGGATGGATGAATCTTTATTTCATGAGTAGGTCAGCTGAAAACATGTCCAACAATGTTGTTCGGTCATTAGTGGACTGGAGAAAAAAAATAGCATTCCCCAATGGGAACACTATTACTGTGTGGTTCACATATTGAAGCAAAGAGGAGAAAGAAGAAGATTCTATCCTTTCTAGAAGTAGGGTCATAATATCACACATGTGACCAGAAACACTTTACAGTTTCTTTATAAGTTGCATCATGGGAAAATTAATTAATTTTTTTTTTATTCATTATTATTATTATTTTAGTTATTGGTTTTATTTCATTTTCTCCACAAGTAGCAGAGATTACTAAGAATCCTTTTATATGCTTTCAGAAATATAAATTAGTCTTTTACTCTGCAAATATTTTGGTAAAGAAATGTTTTCATGCTTACTTTTGAATAGATTTTTTTGAAGACTTTTTCCACCAATAGTGTTCTTGTTAGAAATGGTAAATATTTTTGTGGGATGCTGTCTGTAATATTTACCTTCACTTTACAAGTTCAGATTGCTAATGTCCATTTTAAGAGACAGCTAGAAAAATATTCAGCTCAGATAAAATAAATACCATGTTTCTTCAGGACGTAAGTGATCATGGCTCTCCACACATTCCTTTCCTGTATTTTCTGTGAATAGGCATGACTTCTTGGGGGAAAATTGTGATTTCCTGTAGGTGATATTTTAATGCCATATTCTTTTGGGTCATAAGTGATCATAGCTTTCCACTTTCCTTTTCTTTATTATTTGTGAATTTGCATGACGTCTTCGGGAAGATAGCAGAATGGTTTTCACAACTGGATTTAACATATCCACCTCAAATAAAATTCAACTGTAATTTTTGTGCTTTTCATCTCTATTTTTAAGCAAATTGAAGCCTAGAATATTCCAGTTTAAATGGTTTTAAATATTTCCTGATAGGTAACCATACTAAAATAGGTGCTAGGCAAGAAAGAATGTTTCCATTTTATATTTCCTTGTTTTCGGTGCTGTAAGAGAGTAACATCTTAATACAAAGACAGAACAGTATAGCTGAAAGAAAGGAATGACAACCAGGCACTATTCTCAAAGAGATTTTATATACTGTTATGTCATGCAAGAAATTTTATTCAAATATTGCCACTAATTTGTCCCACACAGGTAAATTGTAACATATGAACAAAACTAGCAGAGTAGAAACACAAAAAGTGAGAGTCCTGTTTGTAATATTTCCTGAAAGGAAAATGACTAGAGAGGTTGAATGTTTCACAAACATTATTTCTAATAATTTCACTCCAAGCAAGGTTATAAAGCCACTAAGATGCAGGGATTACTGAGTGTGAGGGAAGAGAAAAAAAAAACAACATTATTAATGAGTGGGAACAACAAAAGAACAGGAATTAAGAAAACAAAAGATATCGATTGATGTTGCTTTTAAATTTTTGAAGATCGATGTTGACCAGAAAGCAAAAAGTCAGAAGAGAGTTCCACAAGTAAGAAGTGCAAGAGAAGAAACTATCAGCATAGAACTTACAGTTACATCTAACCATTTCAGCGGTAAAATGACTTTGCCATAAAAAAGGACCTT